CCAGCAGACTTCCTCACCAAGAGGCTTGCGGATGAGTCTCATTGGCGTTGTGTGCGCATGAGTGGAATGAGCATGAACTAGTATGGAATGATGGGGATGCAGCCGGCAGGCTGAGGGGGAGTGTGTTGGGTGCAAATTCACATTGCACGACATCCTGCCGTCTGTTTGTACGAGTATGCGTGTGCGAATGCATTTGCGTGTGAATGGTATGTTTGTGTGTTTGTTTGCTTTCGCAATTTTCGCTTGAAGCATTTGCAGGTACTCGCACAATGTGCGCTTCGGCATAACATTGTACGCGCTATGAACAGTACAAGCAGAAAGGACGAGCTCGCAAAGGAACCCAAGATGGAAGCTTTGCGGTTCAACTTACTTGATTGCGCAGATTCAGTTCTATCCAACTCGAAATTGTACTGTTTTGTTTGGTTGACTATAGTGTAGCAGGGCAGGCACTATAGGGGTACAATTTAGGTGAAGGTTGGATGTTGTTTGTCTGTATCTGCATGCTACAGGGCCAGGGGAAACCAGCGGAACCAGCATTTGGCTGGTTGGGCAAAGACAAAACAGGTTCTGTTTTTAGGACCTGAACCTGGTTGTTGTTTCCCCAGGTTGGAAAAACAGAACCAGAGGTTGTTCACCAACCTATCACCTGCTATTTTGTCCAGCCAGGTTGGTTCTGTTGCTTGGAATTATTTGGGATCATCCCTGGTTGTTCCCAGGTTGATTCCCAAGGTCCTTGCTAGCTAGAGCTATTTATTCCTTCTCTGTTTGTACCTGAATATAGTGAAATTGATTCAAGCGAATTCCTTCCTTTCTGGAATTTCTTTTCTACGTGGTGCGACGGCGGAATGCTACCCGAGTCAACGCTAGTACGCTAGCACTCCAACGCTAGGCTAACGCTGTCCGAGCCATAACTTCGTAATGGCAGAACTTTTCGCGAGGCAACTTGGCTTATTTTAAAGCTCTTAGAGTGAGCTTCGATATAGGAAATTCTCAGCTTAATCCGATCGACGGTCTGCACGATACGCTGCGCGACGTTCAAGGTACTCTTGCTGTTTTGACTAAGTCCCTCTTGATCCCTCTCTCTACAAACTCGGACCCGAGGATAGGGGCTGGTCTTGTACCAGGCACCCAAGGACCCTTGGAGGTGACCCCGAGGAGAGGTTTTAAGTGTGATAAAGTCTTAATAGCTTGAGTTTATTAGGCCCTTACACCAACAAATATGCGGCGCACGGTACAGCTACCTCGACCATCAACCGTGCCTACTCTCTTCGACCCCACTCCACACGAATATACGGAAGAAGACAAGGAACGCCTGTCACGCAAAATGGTGGGAGCAACGGTGGACAAGGCGTTCACCACCACTCCGTTTGACGGCTCCAATTTCCGGGAGTGGGGCACTACGGTTTCGTATAAACGCTCGCGTCACGAATCTGTGGGAGTTCTTTGTGACCCTGCAGTATCCGGTTACCATGGGAGATGGTGACATTAACGACGCTATGGAGCGGCTAGAAATGCTACAGGCGGATTACTCATAGCGTGCGGCGCTCGCTTTTTGGGTCCTACTGCACAGCGTGAGCGCTACGATTCAGCTGCAGCTGGATATGTTTCAGGAATCCTACAGTCCGGCTTATGAAGCATGGGAGTATTTAATGGACACTTACCAGGCCAAAGATTCGGTGGCGAAGGTCTCTGTTTTGAAACAGTTGGACAACCTAAAAATGGGGAGTCAAGAGAGGGTGAAGGAGTACGTGAACCGCGCAACGGCAATCCGGGACAAGTTAGCACTCGCGAGGAAGATGGTGGATGAGGACACATTCAGCTTAAATCTGCTCACCGGACTACCGGCGCATTGGGAGGAAATGAGGCAATTGGCAATGCTACACAACGTGACAGATAGCTTCACCTTGCAGCGGATGATGATTCAAGAGCAGAGGTATCACGACCTCATTACGAAGGATAACTTTGACCGGCGTCCACCTCGCATGGTTGGACAAGCACGTAGAGATCGCTCACCTTCTCCAACTACTAAAGGCAGCACCGAGTACAAGGAAGAGTTCGCTGGGGAGAAAATGCAAGGCAAGGAAGGAAGTGCGGTTCGCTCACCTCTTGTGTGTTGGTACTGCAAGGAGGTCGGCCACCTCTTCTTCAAGTGTACGAAGGCACCCCCTGGCTGGACACCGACAGGGTGGGAACCGCATACCCGCAGAAAGGCAAAACCGCACACCAGCGACAGCCGTTTGTTCTTCCCACGAAGGAGTGGCAGCCCCAAGCGTGACAGCGATGTGTCAAAACAACAAGGGGCAGCCGGGGAAGACAAGCAACGCACTGTTACATGCATTGCAATGGTGGGATCGTCACAAGCTACCTTACCACCAGCTAAAGCGTCATCGTGGTTGCTGGACAGTGGATGGAGCCAGCACATGACCTCGGACAAGCGTTGGTTTGAAGAGTTGAAGGAGCTGGACGAATCTGTATACGTGGAGCTTGTTGATGGGAGCCGATTGCACAGCACGATGACGGGAACGATCGGAGCAACGGCACCTGATGGGACAACAGTTCGGTACACTGACGTCCTCCACGTACCTGGCTTGAAGAGTAACCTGCTCTCCTATTGTCAGCTACTGAAAAAAGGGAGCGCGCATCAATACCATTACTAATGGAGACACCGAGATCACCATGACTGATGGAGAGGAGTACGTGTGGATTGGACTTGCCAAGAACGTGGATGGAGTGCTCGTGGTGTAGTATGCGCATGCACTTACATCCGCCCATGCTCCTGGACATTCCCGTGATGATGTGTCATCGAATCAGGTTGATCGTGAAGGGGTTACCCTTTTCCGCACACCTGGTGTGCACATGGACGCACCTGGGAGCACGGATCCCCGCACACCTGGAGTGCACTTGAGTGGCCAGTCTGCACATGCGTCTGTCACATACCGCATGGCACACAAAGCATGCGCTGTGCGGAAGCTGGCACATAATGATACCACGCATGAAGTCTCACCCCACGTTGCGGTGTGGAATTCAGGGGGAGAAGGAAAAATGTCCGCGGTGGATTCGGGAGGCGATAGAGCGGACCTTGTAGAACAGGACTCACCTGCAGCTGATGAAGTCAGTGCGGCCGAAGGAAGCGGAGGCACAGCTGATGACTTACCTGCAGCAGGTGTCTCCATTTTGAAAAGCGTGGAAAATGTTGATGTGGGAAATGAGGTGGACAAGCCAAGCAAGTAGCATCTCACCTGCAATCTGCTGGCTGGTCAAGGCAATCAAGTCAAGGATTCTGGTGTTGTACTCACCTGTGCGGCCACCTCGATCTGTGTTGCACAACAGAGCATCCCCTAACTCCACACTCACTCATGTGCTTGTAGCTGTGTACGCGGTTATGTGCATGACTACAAGCACATGGGTGGGGGGGGGTGGGGTGTGAAGTGTATCTGGTGGCACTGGAGTGGGATATGGAGTCAAGGAGCATAAGGGGAAGACCTACTCACCAAAGGTTGCCAATAGGCAGGGGGAGTAGGCAGAAAGGATGCAGCCGGTCGGCGTCATCCGTCGTGATGCAGTGGTATCGTGCGACTGGTTGCTGCAGATGAACGGCACCATCTGGAGGAAGGATGGAGATCATACATGGAGCACGCATTACTGCATACCTGGTGTGCACGTTTCTCCATACTTGGTATGCAGATCTCGGCATACTTGATGAGCACTGCATACATGGAGTGGACATTTCTGCATATATGGAGTGCAGATTTCTGGGATACTTGGAGTTCGTCGGCATGCGCAACCCTCCAGCTGATGGAGTTCGGCAACTCCGGCTGCTACCATGTGTCTGCTGGAGTGTATGGGAAGCATCACAGGGCAACATGGGTGAAGTTTGAGCAAACTTGGCAAGATTGCCAAAGCATGGAGAGAAAGGCTTACGAAGATGCAGCAAGCGCGGACAGGCAAATGATGCAGTAGGCGCGCAGCAGATCGTCAGCCGCTGACGAACGCAAGGTCGTCGCTTCTATCGCGCGAAGTGTGCGCCCGCCAATGCAGTTCCGTGCCAGCCGTACGTCATGCATTATCCGCTACCGATTCGCGTCATCCGCAACCGCGATCGTCGCAAACGCGCGTCAAGTGTAGTCGTCGCGTCATCGTGCAGCACGCGTGCGATAAAGCCTACAGTTTCGGAAATTCGGCGTGCGCTAAAGGCATTCTGCCATGACGATACACGCATTGTGGCATGGTTTTATGGAGATTTCGTCATGGAGCTGCTACGGTTTCGTCAACAGCAGCCACTACTTTCTAGATCTCGATCTAGAATGTCGAGATTGGAAGGAGGGATTGGAAAACGTGAAGAAATGTGGTTTGGTTGGAGTTTGGAAGGCCCAAAGGTTGGGAGGGGAAAAGTGCTACAGTGACAAGCAGCTTGGCCAACACCAAACCCTAGCTTGGTTTGGACACACCCCTACCTTGTGGTGGTACACCACCTCGACCACCCTATCGTCCAATGAAAACGGATTCACTAAAACCTACAGCAAGGGGGAGTGTTGGAAATCTGAATACAGTATAACGAATACTGTATACCAGTGTGCTGTTTGGTTTTAGTGTAGTCCTCATTATAAGCCTCCAGGTCCTACAATAATTGTTACAATTATTGTAAGGCCACAATTATTGGAGCCCAACATTATTGGAGGGTAGAGGGTACAATTATTGGTACAACATTATTAGTGTGAATGGGTCATTTTGGAGGGGTAGCTGGATGCATATATACCCTACTGTGTCACATCATTTAGTCATCATTGTGTTATCATTCTACTTTTCAATGATCAATGCAAGATTTCTATCTTGTTGTTTCTACAAACACGTTTCCGCTACGCTGGCACTATGCCTTTCTAGCAAACTCCTTGCCTGCACAGTACTGGCTGCCAGGCAGAGCGTCTCCCAATCCCTCCGTACATGCAGGGGCGGTGGAACAGAGAGGGCAGGGCCTCATAGGGCGCAGGTCAGCAGAGAGTATGGGGCAGCAGGGGTGGCTAAAGGCAGTCTGCACCAATCTGCACTCCCCCGGCCCACCGCGAGGACAAGGGGGATCAAAGGGGGAGGAATGGGGAGAGAGTAGAGGGAATGGTGTGCAGGCGGTAAGGTGTGCAAGCGGTAAGGTGTGCATAGGGTAAGGTGTGCAGGTGGTAAGGTGTGCAAGGGGTAAGGTGTGCAGGGGGTAAGGTGTGCTGGGGGGAAGGTGTGCAGTGGGTAAGGTGTGCAGGGGGTAAGGTGTGCAGGCGGTAAGGTGTGCATGCGGTTAGGTGTGCAGGCGGTAAGGTGTGCAGGCGGTAAGGTGTGCAGCGGGTAAGGTGTGCAGACGGTAACGTGTGCAGGCGGTAAGGTGTGCAGGGGGTAAGGTGTGCGAGGATGAAGGAAGCAGAACAGAGGGTGGGGAGACACAAGGAAAAGGGATACAGGTAAAAGGGACAGGGAAACTGGTAACACGAAGACAGGGAAGGGGATGGCGGGAAGCAGGGAACGGGATGGGGGGAAGCAGGGAAGGGGATGGGGGGAAGCAATGAAGGGGATGGGGGGAAGCAGGGAAGGGGATGGGGGGAAGCAGGGAAGGGGATGGGGGGAAGCAGGGAAGGGGATGGGGCTAGGGGGAAGCAGTGAAGGGGATGGGGGGAAGCAAGGAAGGGGATGGGGCGAAGCAGGGAAGGGGATGGGGGGAAGCAGGGACGGGGATGGGGGGAAGCAGGGAAGGGGATGGGGGGGAAGCAGGGAAGGGGATAAGGGGAAGCAGAGAATTGGATGGGGGGGAAGCACGGAAGGGGATGGGGCGAAACAGGGAAGGGGATGGGGGGAAGCAGGGAAGGGGATGGGGGGAAGCAGGGAAGGGGATGGAGGGAAGCAGAGAAGGGGATAGGGGGAAGCAGGGAAGGGGATGGGAGGAAGCAGTGAAGGGGATGGGGGGAAGCAGGGAAGGGGATGGGGGGAAGCAGGGAAGGGGATGGGGGGAAGCAAGGAAGGGGATGGGGCTTGGGGGAAGCAGCGAAGGGGATGGGGGAAGCAAGGAAGGGGATAGGGCGAAGCAGGGAAGGGGATGGGGGGAAGCAGGGAAGGGGATGGGGCTAGGGGGGGAGCAGTGAAGGGGATGGGGGGAAGCAAGGAAGGGGATGGGGCGAAGCAGGGAAGGGGATGGGGGGAAGCAGGGAAGGGGATGGGGGGAAGTAGGGAAGGGGATGGGGGGAAGCAGGGAAGGGGATGGGGGGAAGCAGGGAAGGGGATGGGGGAAAGCAGAGAATTGGATGATAGAATTCAAAAATCATCTTTGTAATGAGCCAAGGAGGCTCTATAGTACAAGCATGCAAGGAAGAGAGGAGTGGAGGAGGAACTACCCTTATTGGTCACTAAGTTGGCCAATGGGTGAGGTGCCTTGTGGAGTAGGAAACCCCACAATGTAGCTAGGCTGTGATTGGTTGGTGTTAGGACCAAAAGTTGGCAAGTGCCAACCAAGGACCAAGACCAAATCCAATCTTGACCAACCACTAAGTGTGGTTGGAGTGTACACCCAACCCCCCAAGAACATAAGAGACTACACCTCTTCTAGCCTATGAATGTTGCATAAATATACATTTACAACACAACCCCCCAACATGCGTAAGGCTAGAAGATGTAATTAGGAGGCCGTCGAAACCGGAGGAGGGGTGAGGCCAAGGAGACGCAGAAGGAAGGAGTGGGATGCTTGGGGAAGGGCTTTGGTGAAGATGTCAGCGAGGTTGGCCGCCGAGTCGATTTTGCCAAGGCGAATGTGGCCGGCCTCAATGAGATCGCGAATGAAGAAATAGCGAAGCTCAATGTGTTTGGAGCGCCCATGATACACAGCATCCTTGGTGAGGTGGATGGTGCTGGCGTTGTCACACCAGATGGTGGGACAGCGTTGGGGGGCTCCAAGCTCATCAAGGAGGAAGGTGAGCCAACGCGCTTCTTGTGCGGCCATGGTTGCAGCGTAGAGCTTTGCTTCGCAGGAGGAGAGGGCGACGGCAGAGGAGCGTGTGGACCGCCAGCTGATAAAACCGCTGCCCAGAGAGAAACCATAACCCTGAGAGGTTCGCCGATCCGGTCGAGAATCAGCCCAGGAAGAGTCGCTGTAGCCGCTGAGGAGGGGTGGGGAAGGGCTGCCGTATGCTTGCTAGCGCCAACGAACCGAGCTAGGACGCTGATGGGGTAGGCAAGGTCAGGGCGAGTGGAAACCATGGCGTACATGAGAGAGCCGATGAGTTCAAGATAAGGATGGGAGGAGGGAGAGGGGGAGGAGGGTGGGGAGAGGTGGTGCCCTGTTGGTGTAAGGGCCTAATAAACTCAAGCTATTAAGACTTTATCACACTTAAAACCTCTCCTCGGGGTCACCTCCAAGGGTCCTTGGGTGCCTGGTACAAGACCAGCCCCTATCCTCGGGTCCGAGTTTGTAGAGAGAGGGATCAAGAGGGACTTAGTCAAAACAGCAAGAGTACCTTGAGCGTCGCGCAGCGTATCGTGCAGACCGTCGACCGGATTAAGCTGAGAATTTCCTATATCGAAGCTCACTCTAAGAGCTTTAAAATAAGCCAAGTTGCCTCGCGAAAAGTTCTGCCATTACGAAGTTATGGCTCGGACAGCGTTAGCCTAGCGTTGGAGTGCTAGCGTACTAGCGTTGACTCGGGTAGCATTCCGCCGTCGCACCGCGTAGAAAAGAAATTCCAGCAAGGAAGGAATTCGCTTGAATCAATTTCACTATATTCAGGTACAAACAGAGAAGGAATAAATAGCTCTAGCTAGCAAGGACCTTGGGAATCAACCTGGGAACAACCAGGGATGATCCCAAATAATTCCAAGCAACAGAACCAACCTGGCTGAACAAAATAGCAGGTGATAGGTTGGTGAACAACCTCTGGTTCTGTTTTTCCAACCTGGGAAAACAACAACCAGGTTCAGGTCCTAAAAACAGAACCTGTTTTGTCTTTGCCCAACCAGCCAAATGCTGGTTCCGCTGGTTTCCCCTGGCCCTGTAGCATGCAGATACAGACAAACAACATCCAACCTTCACCTAAATTGTACCCCTATAGTGCCTGCCCTGCTACACTATAGTCAACCAAACAAAACAGTACAATTTCGAGTTGGATAGAACTGAATCTGCGCAATCAAGTAAGCCGAACCGCAAAGCTTCCATCTTGGGTTCCTTTGCGAGCTCGTCCTTTCTGCTTGTACTGTTCATAGTGCGTACAATGTTATGCCGAAGCGCACATTTTGCGAGTACCTGCAAATGCTTCAAGCGAAAATTGCGAAAGCAAACAAACACAGGAACATACCATTCACACGCAAATGCATTCGCACACGCATACTCGTACAAACAGACGGCAGGATGTCGTGCAATGTGAATTTGCACCCAACACACTCCCCCTCAGCCTGCCGGCTGCATCCCCATCATTCCATACTAGTTCATGCTCATTCCACTCATGCGCACACAACGCCAATGAGACTCATCCGCAAGCCTCTTGGTGAGGAAGTCCGCTGGCTGCTGGTGAGTCTTGATGTAGATCGGATTCACCGTCCCCCTCTTCACCTCCTTACGCAGCCAGTGCCACTTGATACGCATGTGCTTGTTCAGCCCATGAAGCACAGCGTTCCTGGCCATCCCAAGAGCCCCCTTGCTATCACAAAACAGCGGCGTAGCAACCTTCTGCTCCTGGCCAATCTCCTCTAACAACCTCCTCAGCCAAATCACCTCCTTCACCCCATGGAACATCGCCATGTACTCTGACTCCACGGAAGAGAGTGCTGTCTCCGTCTGCTTCTTTGACCCCCAACTACGCAGATGTATCCTCCCACAGATGAGGAATCCTCCTTCTCAGAGGCCCACGTAGCATCAGTAAAGCAAGTAAGAAAAAGCTTGCCTTCTCCAAGCCTCTCCCCCTTCTCTTTCAGCACCTCAACCCCTTTCTGCTTCACCTGTGCAGATGCGGAGTATTGAACTCCAATGCTTGGGTGAGAGTTCAGATACTTCACCACACGCTCAGCTGCATCCACCTGCTCCTCTGATGGATTCTGCACTACCCTAGCCAGCTGCCCAACCGAGAAAGAGATGTCGGGTCTCGTGTGAACTGCTGCATACAAGAGGCTGCCCACCAAGGACTGAAATTGCTGCTGCTCCTCGGCTTCAACCCCTTGATCCTCTGCAGCTTTCACAAGCTTGAATTCTGCTGGCAGGGGAGTTGCAACCTTGCGCTCATTCTCAATTCCGTACTTCTCCCCAAGCTCCTTGATGAACTTCTCCTGGTGCAGCTTCAACCACCTGTGATCCAGATCCCTCTCCACGTGCATCCCGAGGTAGTACTTTACCTCCCCAAGGTTCTTGCACTTGAAGTTCTCCATCAGCTGCTGCTGCACCTTCTGGATCTCCTTCATGCTGCTGCTAAAGAGAAGAATGTCGTCCACATAGACCAGAAACAGCACCAGCTTCTCCCCCTCCCCCTTGAGAAAGAGGCTCTCATCACAGCTGCTGGTCCTGAATCCCATCTCCTCTAAAACAGCTGCCAACTTCTGGTACCAGCAGCGTGGCGCCTGCTTCAAGCCATAGATGGACTTTTTCAGCTTGCACACCCTGCCCGTACCATCCTCATACCCAGGTGGCTGCGTCATGAACACCTCCTCCTCTAAAATCCCGTTGAGAAATGCCGTTGATATGTCCATCTGGATAATGAACTTCCCACTAACGGCTGCATCTGCCAACAAGACACGAAGGGTAGGGGGTTTGGCAGTGGGAGCAAAGATCTCATTGAAGTCCCGCTTCTCCTTCTGCATAAACCCCTTAGCCACCAACCTACTCTTGTAGATGGTGACCTGCCCCTTGTCGTCAGTCTTGATCCTTAGCACCCACTTGCATTGTACCGCTTTCTTTCCCTCAGGCAGCACCACTAGTTCCCAAGTCCCATTCTCCAGCAGGCTCTGGTATTCAGCATCCCTGGAAGCTAGCCATTTGTCCCTATCTGGTCCAGCTAATGCCTCCTCCATGCTAGCTGGTTCCTCTGGTGCAGGGGCAAGAAAACAGTACGCAGGTTGATCCTCCTCATCCGGGTCATAGCCATGCGGTAGAATCAGCAATGCCTCCTCGGTCCCAAGCTGCTGCTCCGCTACATCAGCTCCTGCAGTCAGCTTCTTAGTAGCCATACGGGTACGTCCTGGCCTGGAGACGGGTGTCTCCCATCCCTTCATAATAACACCCTTCGGCTTCTTAGTTTTCCCCTGCTGCTGCTCTCCTCCCTCGGATCCAGCAGCTCCACTAGTGCTACCGCTAATCTCCACACCATCACCTCCACCAGCAGGTGCCTCCTGCACCTTCTCTTTATCACCACCCTCTGCAGCTGCCTCCTCTCCCTCCTCCCACACACTAGGAGTCAGGTCCAGCTGCATGGTGATCTGCTCCATCTGCTGGGACACCCTGGCCTCCGGCTGTTTCTCCCAGCTCCCATACATCATGCCCTCAACAAACTTCACATCCCTGCTGTCAAACAACACACCCTTGGAAGGCTCCCACAGCAGCCATCCCTTGCTCTCAGCAGCCAGCCCCAAATGCACACACCAGATTGCACTCGCCCCCAACTTACTGCGGTAGGTCTTGGGAACGTGGGCGACTGCCATGCAACCGAACACTCTCAGCATGTCCACCGGCGGCTTCCTCCCAAGCCACCTCTCCAACGGCACCCACGAGTCATCCCCAACCTTTGTGAGTACCCTGTTCCTAGCGACGGTAGCGTGCCGAACAGCATGGGGCCACATGGAGTTGCCCAGCCCAGATTCTATGAGCAGCGCCCTAGCTGTCTCCAGAATTGTCCGGTTCGCCCGTTCTGCTACACCGTTAGACTGTGGGGTGTAAGCCGTGGTCAGCTC